TCTCTAAGTCAGTCACTGTGGGAGGGTAACACTGGGAATCCTGAAGTGAAGTCTCATGGCTGCTCTGAGTCTCAGGTTCAAACATTCAACCCTTTCCTGGAATGGATTCAAAGCCCATGCACACTCCAGAGGTATGTTGCACACCTGCACAGGGTTCAGTCCCCCTGGTGTTTCTTGTGTAAGGACTGTGGGGCCAGAACTCCACACTGTCCCTGTAGATCACAGCATCCTCCAGTCCATTGAACACTTGGCTTTTTTACCTGGGACCTCCTGAAGTTCCCAGGTTTCACTTTGGTTCTAAAAGTTCAATTTCTTTCCCAAGAGCCAGGAACCAGGAAGAAAGTCCAGACTGTTTTGCTCTCTGCACCACAGTGTAGTTGGTCTCCTCAAGGTTTCTGTAGTTTTCTAAATTTGTTTTTAAGTACATGGGCACATGGGCTGTTTAAAGCAGCATAGTTTCTAGTATGCTAAATCTTGGAAACAATCTGTTCTTTTATATATTTAACTTTATTTTTTAGGAGTACATGATTGTTACACATATTCATTACATTAATCATGTGGAATTTGTACCTGTATGTAATGTATCTTAATTCTTTTTGTCCCCATTCACCTCCCCTCCTATCAAACCTTCTTTCCCTCCCCATTTACATAGGATTTGTTTCTATTTTTCTCCTTCTAGTCTCTTTTATTTCCTTTTCCTTTTCTGTTCACTCCTCCATTTTTCCCCTTCCCATTTGAACATATTATTCCTCCTTCCTAATATCTACCCTGAATTATGCTCCTTATTTACCCTTTGGGTTTCTCACACAAGAAAATGTGATATTTAAACTTGTGTGTCTGATTTATTGCACTTAAGACTATGGTCACAAGATGCATCCATTTTCCTGCAAATTATTTAAATTTATCCTTTGTTATGATACAATAATACTCTATTGTGTATAAGTTCTACATTTTCTTTATCCATTCATCTGTTGATGGCATATAGGCTGTTTCCAAATTTAGCTATTATAATTTGTGTTGCTATAAACATGGTTTTGCATATATCACTGTGGTGTGATGGTTTTTGTTCTTTTGGAAAGATCCCTAGAAGGAGTTCAGCTGCCTCAAATGGAAATTCTAGCTTTGGTTTTTTTTGAGGAATCTCTGTAGTGATTGCCACAGTGATTGTATCAGTTTACGCTCCTACTGGAAATGGAGAAGGGTTCCTTTTTCTCCACAGCCTCTCCAGCATTTTCTATTGTTGATTTCCTAATGATAGTTATTCTTTATGCGGAGAGATGGAATTTCAGTGTTGTTTTAATATGCATTTTCCTAAGGACCAGTTATGTTGAGCATTTTTTCATATATTTATTGGCTATTTGTATTTCTTCATCTGAAAAATACATATTCATTTTAGATACCCATTTTTGGATTGGGTCTTTAAACTTAGGGGTCTGATATTTTTGAATTCTTTATATATTCTAGGTTTTAGTCCTTTTTCTGAGGAGTAGCTGATAAAAATATATTTTTCCCATTCTCTGCATTATCTCTTCATTTGTTGGTTTCCTCTGCTGTGCAAAAGCTTTCTATTTGGTGTGATCAGTTATTGAGTCTTTGTAATATTTCCTCTGGGATGGAGTTTTTGTTCATAAAGTATTTACCTACACGTATATCTCCTACAGTTTTACCTAGTCTATCTTTCAGCAGATTAAGTGTTTCTGTTTTTATATTTAGATCATTGATCCATTTAGATTTTAATCTAGTTCATTGTGAGAGATATGGGTATAACTTCAATTTTCAGCAAGTGGAAAGCCAGTTTCCCCAGCACCATTTATGAAAGAGGCTTCCAGTGGATATGTTTGGCTCTTTTGCCAAAGATAAATTAGCTGAGTTTGTTTACAGTTGGTTTTGCATCTCATATTCTGTTCCATTGATCCCTGGGTCTGTTTATTTGCCAGTACCATGCTGTTGTTATCATAGTAGATTTGTAGTGTAACTTCAAATTGGGGATTGTGATGCTCCCGGCCTTGCCATGGTTGCCCAGAATTACCTTGGCTATAGTAGATCTCTTCTGGTTCCATAGAAATTTTACGATTGTTTGCTCTAGTTCTGTGAGATATGCTACTGGTATTTTGATTGGGATGGCATAAAATGTGTTTAACAGTTCTTCAAGTATGGCCATTTTCACTATATTGGTTCTGTCTATCCAATAACAGGGGATATCATTTCATTTTCTGAAATTCTCTTTGATCTCTTTTTCCAGAGTACTGTAGTTTTTAATGTATAGGACATTCACTTTCTTTGTTAGATTGATTCCTAAGTATTTCACTTTTCTTGATGATATTGTGAAAAGTGTTTTTTCCTTAATTTCTCTCTCTGTAAGTTCGTTATTCTGTAGGAATGCTATTGATGTTTGAGTGTTGACTTTGTATCCTGCTATGCTTCCAAATTTGGTTATTAACTCCAGGAGTCTTTGGTGGATTTTTTTGAGGTCTTCTATGGAAAATATCATGTCATCAGCAAATAATGATAACTTCTTCCTTTCCTATCCATACTCATTTTATTTCTTTCTCTTGTCTAATTGCTCACCCTAATGTTTACAGAGCTCTCTATAGTTTTCAAATTTCACGTCAGATCCTTCAGGATTCCTGGGGATCTACTTCATTTTATTTGTCTTTGTTTTTCTCTCCCTCAGTTGAGATTTTCCAGAGTCTGCATTCTGAATCTTGGAGAACTGCTATTGCTCACCACTCTGCTATTTTCCAGCACTGACAGTTTAAAGGTAACCCACACCCATAAACAAAGGCACCCCACAGTGCCTAGTTTCCCTTGTTGTCAGCCTGGAGTTTCTGTGATAGTGGCTGAACATGGGCAGTCTCAGAGAGATGAGGACCTTTGTCCAAGAGGAGACCACAAGTTGTTAGAGGGAGCCACATATGGTTAATAAATGGAGGACCTCTGGAGTTGAGAGGTATAAATCCATCCTAAAGACTGAGGGTGTCTCCAACCCAGAAATAACAGGGTCTTCCCATTCTCCAGGTCAGAGAGGCAATAACTGGTGTGGTCACTTCTACCATGGGCAGGAAGGGAATCTTCATGGAGAGGAGGACTATGTCTCCAAGAGTCAGATCAGCTCATCTTGACAGCGGTGGGGCTCAGGCTGGGAGGCACAGACAGGAGGAAGACAGAGAAACTACAGAAGCACATAGGAGATGCCTTACTTAGGTTCTCATTGCTGAGACATAAGACCTCCCAGCTGTAGTTTAATGGAAGAAAAGTTGATTGGGGCTCACAATGTATAGAGATTTCAGTTCATAGCCAGCCAACTCTAAGGGAGAGGAGCATAGTGGAAGGGACTGATGGGTGCAAAGCTTCTCATCACAATTACTCCAGACAACAAAGAGAGAAGGGAGGAACCAGGAAGGAAGACATAATCTGCTGTCACACCCACAGTGACCCTACTCTTCCTAAGAGGCCCCAACTCCTCATAGCAAAATAGCTATAAGCCTTCATAATTCAGTTGCCTTCCAAAAGTCCTTCCTGTAATCCCTATGGACTTTTGGAGAAATCTGTACTTAAAGCATACAGGAGTCCTGCATCAGAGGAGAGATTGGCACAGTTCTTGCAGTCAACATTGAAGTCACCATGAGGGGGTGATGAGATGGGGGTTTCTCACTTCTTTTCAGAATCCTGGAGATCTCAGGGAGGTGAGGGACTCAGTCTGAGATAGTGTCTGTGAGTTGGCACATAGAACTCCATCTGATCAGCAGACACACAGATGCCCCAGGGTTTGCCAAGAGTCCTGATGAGAATCCTAAAGGAGGATTTAGGGTACTCCTGACCTGAACAAGATAGGTGCATTATCCTTGACATTGGACCTGTGCCTGCGATTGTCCCAGGAAGTCTAGGCAGGGATGTTAGGTTGAGGTTGCTCTCTTAGTTTTGCATCATTAGTCTCAGCATGTGAAGACTTTGTTGCAAGGGGCCTGGACTACGGGACACCAGAAGTAGGATTCCACGGTCTACCAAGGATCTAGGTGAGGCAGAGGGAGCCCATTCACCTGAACACACAGTACTCTAGCCTCCACCTGTCCCTTTTGTCACCTGTAGTCAGACCCAGGGAACATAGGTGGACTGGCTTTCCCTACTTCCTCTTTGAGTGTCTCACACTGATAATGTTGTGGTTTTTCAAAAGGGGCTCCAAATCATTGAAGGTAGAGTCCGACACCTAACCATTTATCAAGATAGAGATGGAGCAGGTTGCCCCTCCCAGGACACATGGACCTCCATGACTTTTTCTACCTCCAGTTGTTGTCCTAGGCAGCTGTGTCCAGATGTGTGTCCCCTCACAGCCTTTTGTTCCCTCTCAGGGAAGGAGACAATTTTTTCTGAGAGTTGGCCTCAGGCTGGCAGAGGACTGGGGTCCAGGCCCTGCTCAAGGACAGGTCAGGGCCCTGAGTGAGCAGAGAGGGGACAATTCACCAGAAAAGTGGGGACCTCACAGAGTCCAGCCCACCCCTCCTGTGAGGGCTGGAATACAGGGACTGTGCTTGAAGTCTGCAGCCTGAGGGGCCCTCCGTGTCTCTACAGGAGCTCAGGACCCAGGCAGTGAAGGTCTCAGTGTGAGGCAGTGTCATCAGGTGACAAAACAGACAAGGCCCAGGAGTCAAGACCCAGTGAATGCTGTGATGTGTTCCCAGGGTTCCACCTGTCCAAGAGCAAAGGCCCCTCATAGTACCCAATCTCCACGTGCCATGCTGCCTTGTCTCCAGTCTTTTCCTCTGTGGTTCAGCTGCAGCCTGAGGATCAGCCTCAGATCATGTCCCAGGTTCATGGTAACAGGACTAGCAAGACACGGGAGGCTGTGAGGCCTACAACACTCCCCAAAGTAAAGATCTCTAACGGCCCTTTGTGGAAGGCAACAACTGTGTTGTTCTCAGCTGAGAACACTAATAGTCTCCCTCTCTCCTCCAGGCATCTGAGTCCTCAGCAACAAACTCTTGCCCTCCCCACGGAACATCATGGTGCCCCGTTGTCAGCAGAGCCAAGACAGCAAGCTACGGGGAGGCCATCTTGCCCAAAGTAGTGCAGGGGACGTCATGAGTGTGCAGGGTCTCGAGGATGAGGGGGAAGCAGCAGCCTCCGCTTCCTCTCTATCCTCTCCCTCCCTTACTGTCATCGCGTCCACACCAATAGAAAAGCCTGGGCCTGGGACACCAAGTTGTCCTCAGAATCCTCAGGGCATCTTCTCTCCCCCCAGTGCCATGGCTGCCACTCAAAGGAGCCAGTGCAGTGAGGGCTTGGGCCAGCAAGAGGAGGAGGGTCCAAGTCCCTCGCAGGATGAGAATGTTCCTCAGATCTTGCGCAGTGTGCTCCTAAATGACAAGTTACATGATCTGGTGCCCTTACTGTTCCGCAAGTATCAACAGAAGGAGCAGATCACCATGGAGGAAATGCTGCACGTTGTGGATGATGATTACCATGAGCACTTCCCTCTGATCTTTAGGGAACTCTGTCAGTGCATGTGTCTGGGCTTTGGCATTGAGCTGAGGGAAGTGGATCCTCCTGGCCACACATATGACCTTGTCCCTGTCCTGGGCCTCACTTACAATGGCATGCTGGATGAAGATGACCAGATCATTGCCAAAGTCGACCTCTTGATACTCATCCTGAGTGTAATCTTCATAAAGGGCAACCAAGTCAGTGAAGCAGACCTAATGAAACAAGTGGGAAGGTGGGAGATATTAGCTCAGATGGAGCACATTGTTATTGGGGATCCCTGGAAATTCATCACAGAAGATTTGGTCCGGGAAGAGTACCTGGTGTACCAGCAGGTTCCTAATAGTGATCCTGCTCGCTGTGAGTTGCTGTGGGGTCCAAGGGCCCACACTGAAACCAGCAAGATGAAAGTCCTAGACCATGTAGCCAAGCTTAATAGGGTGGATCCCAGGTCTTATCCACATCTATATGCGGAGGCTCTGAAAGAAGAAAATAGTATGTTCCGGGCCCCTGAGGTGCAATATGTGTGACAGGGGCAGGGAGTGTTCCACAACCACTTCACTGGCTTGGTCCCCACCCCATGTGAAATGAGCCCCATTCTCAGTCCGAGTTTCTGGTGAGCAGCAGTTTTGTAAGCAGTGAGGGGCTAGGGGACCAGGTAAAACACAGTGCATAGCATCTTGATGTCGCTTCTATTTGGGTTCCTTGGAAATGGACATGTGTTTCCTTTATGAGTTTTTGAAGTCTTGTCCCTTTTGTAAGAGACTCAAGTAGCTTATGCATCTTATTTGAAGAAGTGTATGGATCTCACATGTATTTTTAATATTGTGATGTTGACGTTTGATTGCCTTTGCTGATGTGAATGCTATTTTGTGTGATATTGATAAAAATGGATTTTGTTTCTTCCTTCCAAGTGTAAGAGTCTTTCCTATTTTGTCAAACAGGCAAACCATTCAATTTATTTATGAAAAATAGGAGAGAAATAGGAATTTCCTTGAAAATGTGTATGAAATTTAAATCAAGTTAGTTGGAGGCTAGAGATAGACATAAGATTGAAAATAAATTCCTGGCTTTCTATTTCTTTTCCCTTGTCGATCGATCCTATTAAAAATTTATTTACTGAATATGCTTGTTTTCTTCCATTTTATAAGGGAAATTTATTGTGAATAAAGAAACACATGTGCTTACAGGCACATTGACCCCCAAGCCTTCATTGTATGTGTGCCCTTAGGAAGGCCCCGTGTCTGTGGTGGAGACATGGGTAAACTAGACTGAGCAAGATTAACCCTATCTCCTAGGATAGTGGATTCCAGGAGTACCACCAATGTGGAGAGATAGAGCGATGTCCTCAAGAAACTAAGGAGCATGAAAAAGAGAACTGGGGTTAAGAGTCTAGCAGAGAGCGGCCATGGGTGAGGGCTGAGCCAGGGCAGCTTGAGGCTTGGGGTAACTGCAGTTCCTTCTGCAGGAGTTGATTTTGATGCAGCTGCAGGTTGGCCAGGGCAAGACTCTCAGATGAGGTGCCTGGGCCTGAGGTAAAAGCCTCAAGGAATGGAAGACAGCTCTGAGTAGTACTTGTAGATGGAGAATGAAGCTGAGAGGAATCTTTACCTGGGAAATCTAGGAGAAGCGTGGTCTTACACAGGGCAAGAACCAGGGTCTTATCTTGAACATCTGCAAGGATTTCCTGAGAGATAAGGGGGACTATCAGGTGAAATGAGGTCCTAAAATCCCTGGCCAGGTGCTCTGCTGTCCACTGGGAGTGTCCACTTTCCAGGGTCTTGCAGTGCCCAGTTGACTAGCTTTCCTGGGGATAACTTCTGCTCGTGAGCCCAGTTTGCTCCAACACTCTTACAAGATGGACATGAGCACCTGGCTAGTTGCACTGACCACTCACACCAGTGGTCAGAGGACTGCCTGACCAAGTGGTTCTTCCTCCAGAGGCCCTGCTCAGTTTTCGCAAGTGTCTTCCACTTGGCTTATATCAGGACTCAGCCTGGGTGAGTTTTTGAATATTTCTTTGTGAAGGAATGTGATGCTAGTGTTTTCAACACGTGTAATCTTGCTTGAAGTTTCTCAGAACTGCATCTGTGCTCAGCTGGCCGTGTCACTAGAATGGCCTGGGCTTCAGTCCTCACTGTCACAGAGGCCTCATGAGCCCCAAGCCTAGACTCTTGGTGAAGGAGAGGCGATTGAAAATAGTTGTTCCAGTGGAGGGGAAGCTAGCAGGGAGGGAATGTGGTTCTTCTCCAAAATTCCAGGAACTGTGAATGAGTCAATTCCAGTAGGGACAGACTCGCCAAAATCTAGTCAGGTAATAACTACTATTGTAGAGAAGATGAAGGAACATTTACTGAGCAGTGTAGTTGTATGGTTTTCTATTCAATTTCCTAATGACTTGAAATTTGCCTTGGAAACACAAATTTTCTAAAAAGTCAGTAATAGTGCCTGAGCCTTGAGTAACACTCGAACCAAATACTTACCACCAAGTATTCAATATAGGTCAGAAATTCTGCAGGGTGATTTAATACATGTTGCATTACAGTGGTCCTACAACCAAGAATGTGTGTCAAACCCACTTTATAGATGAAGAACCTGAGGCCTACTGGGCTTGGGAGCTTCTCAGGATCCCTGTGTGGTAAATGACAAGGCCAGGACTGGACTCTCAGTGTGAGGTCACCTAGAGGCCACCCTGTTCCCACTCCTCCCAGCCTCAACCTGGCTCTGTTTCCGAATTCAATTCAGTACTCAGAGAAATGAAAATACCTCTCAGGGTGCAGAAAATCCCCGTGTCCAAGGCACTGATCTGGCCTGAATTAAGAATGTAGAATGAGCGGGTGATGGGTGCACCCTACTCCCTGGGAACTGCCCAGAGTCACCTGCCCTCGCCCACGGCATGTAGAAGGCCCTGGCTGTCACTTTGCTCACCATGGAAACCCTCCAATAGCAACAGACCTTTTGACATAAAAGTTATCCTTGGACTATGAGGCTTAGTCCCTGGGTTATGTGCCTGAGAATCAAAATAACACACGCTTGAACCTTCCCAAACAGGTGATAAGGAGTTTGACATGCAGCATAATCTACTCCATATCTTGGCAGGTAAATTAGGACAGCTTTAAAGACCATCTTGATATTTTCTATACAATTTTAATGAAAAGAGTTACTAGAAAAAGTCCATGGCACACATGTGCAGATGCATGAGCTTATGTGGGTGGTCAAACCCAAAGCTCCCTGAGAAGCTGTAGGTGAGGCAGGACCATGCTCACCGCAGTAGAGGACAGAAAAACATCTGTTGTGGCTGAATTCCTCTAACCCTGAAGTCCTCTGTGTAGGTGGTAATTTCTTCTTCGTTGATCTCAAAATAAAAATAAAACACACCTTCCTTCTCCAATCAATCATGTGTGTCCCTCTCCACAGGAAGTCATGAACTTCAATATGCGGAATGGCACTGGTTCTGATGTTCGGACCAGGACAGTCGTGTGCGCTGTAGGAACAGCTCAGCGTTAGCAGACTGACCATGAGTCCGAAGACAGGAGGAAATTCTCAGCCTGCTAAATTAGAGATTATTGTATGGGAAATAATAGACATGGGCTAATTATTGAAGAAGTACCCCTCCTGCTAATATTTTTACAATAATATGGAAATGAGATTGAGTCTGTTATCTGAAGCATCTGTCACATAGCAGACGGGCACTAGAAAAGGCTGGAGAATTTCTACACCTATCTCACCTGCTCGAAATCTCTTTCCAGAAAGAAGGGAATTTTATCATAACAAAACAAATTGTATTAGTTCAGCATCTATTATGTGACCACTTATGGTGACACTACAAGTTCCCACAAACACAAGCTTGCCTTTCCCTCTTTTCTAGACACCAGAGCATTATAGTCCACTTGTCCTTAGAAGTGCCATTAGATGATCCTCTGCCCGTACCTGCAGACTCGTTACTTATTTCTTATAGCCGTTTCTGTAGGCGGTGCTGAAGGAGACCTGGGTAAATCCTCATGCCCTGGCCACACAGCACACAGAATTGTCAATTGCATGACTAGGCAGTCTGACGTGCATATTTGCTTCCTTTGATGGGGGCCACATAGTTACCTTAAAGCCCCTAGGCAGGAGCCGCCCCCCAGATGCTGACTGCAGAGTTTCCTTCATGCTGCCCTCACCCTTCAGGCTCCTGGGCACACCTGTCAATCCCAGCACAGCTGTGATGTCCTCCCCAGTGTGAGGGCAGGTGGTGGCCAAAATCGCCCAAATCCATGTGATGCCTGCGGGTTCCCTCCTCCTGCTGCTGTGCCCCATTGGCCACCCTCTCCTGCACCTGGCCTCAGCCTGCCCAGTTTGGAGCAGCATTTGATTTCTGTCCCTATTCCCACCTGCTTAGCCCAAGACAGGACTCAGAGCTGACAGCAACATGCAGTTATCTCCACCTGAAGATCCCTGGTAAGAAGTATGTTAGGAACTTCTTTCTGTAAGCTTCCAGAGGAGCTGAGGTGCGCACCCAACAGAAACATACAATGAACGAGTTCTCTGTGCCACGTGAGACCTGTTAAACCAGACCCAGGTGTAAAAGCTGAGCTGAGAGCAGGCACTCCACAGGCAGTCAGCAAGGACACGAGCCTTGATTTGAGTAGACTCTTCTGAGACGAAGATCAAACCGCTCATTTTGTAGCCGAAAAGTTCACATCCTCTGAGGACTGCTCCTCAAGGAGTCTGGTTGGTCTTTCCCTAAAGCAGTTCGTGTGAGAAAGGACAGTGTCCGCGTACTGTGCACGCTGTTGCCATTGGCCCCTAAAGCCCAAGAGGATTTTATGGCCTTTCCAGGGCACCCTCAATGTCAGCCAGCACCTGGGCTGCTCTTGGAAGTGGTGCAGGCCCCTGCAGCTCATATGCTTAGGTTCATTTGTTTTTCACAGTTTGCGGAATTGATGGAAGCCATATATTGTGGTAAATAGGAATGAAGGATTTATCTAAAGCTATGTCTGAGGAAATAGAAGGCCTCACTTGCCTTGAATCACCATCTTACCTGCTAAAAGTAGGTAAGGGCCTTTCATAGTTGGAAATAGAGTGTAGAGGAAGCACTCTATTCGCATCTCTCCTTGTACAAGCGGGTAAGGAGCTCACATAGTTAGGAACAGAGGGGCGGGAAGCATGGAGAGGTGATGCAGATCTCCAGCACTACCGGCCTCAGCACTTCCAGCAGTCTTCAGCACATCCTCCTCTAAACCAGGCTCCAGCCTCCTGGGGCTGGTGGCATCTGCCTATTCTGTCACTTCTTGGGGGCTGCAGACAGAGGAGGACAAAGTATCCATTATGAACACGGCAGAAGGGAGTTTGCACTAGCTGTGTATTTGTGAAAGGAAAATCTACATTTTATGCTTTCATTTGAATTCCAGCCACAGTCCTCTCAGGGCAGTGTAACAGAGAACTTCCTGCCTCGGGGTTCTGAGCCCCCTGGTCTCGGGGCCCTTTTCACGCTGTGCAGAGTGACCTTGCCCATTTCCCACAGACACCAGGCAGGGTACCAGCAACA